TCCCCCATTTACCTTTAATATCTTTAAATAGCGACCCTTTCCACTCTCCATGATTTAAAGAGGCTAGTTCTTTGGCTCCTTGGGGCCACATTCTGTGGATCGCTTACCACCACTTACCACCATTGCTTACCACCACATATAAAATAGTTTTATATGGGGATGGAGTATGATCCAAACCTCCCTGAAGCCAACAAAAAAACTTCCATTGATTTTATTGGGTTCTGGATCAGGCCCAGAGAATGTGGGCCTCCTGCTCCTATCATTAAAACTAACAGGAAAATGACTGTTTCCCCTGCCAGATGCTAGTTATGTGAAGAACAGGACCTGATAGGTACTCTATGATCCCCAGAGTGCAAACTGATCCCTGGTTGCAAATCAGTCCCTCGGGAACCCATCAGTGCTTCCTTTGTAAACATGCCTTCTCAGTCACTGCACACGGTCGTGCTGATAGCTGTTTTCTGCTCCCCTTGCATGATTATAGCTGGGTTATGTTCCATATGTCCCTGAGCCAGAAGACCTTTTTAAGAGTGGGGGACAGTGCCCTCTACTAGGTGGTCCCTACAGTGAGCCTGCAGGGATGAAGCTACTTGGCATTATCGTGAGTTTTAGCAATAACGCCATGAAAGGAATGAGAATTTGTGTATTATCTCCCAAGACATCAGGGAAAGTATTAACTGAAGTGCTAAATTACATTTAAAATGTTGCTGTGTGAAGCCATTCAACTTTATTTGTAGAAAAATATTTTGACCAATTTCAAATAATTTATCTCCAAATCATCTATTGTATTCAGGCTGTGGAAATGAAAAGTTGCATACTTCCATTCTTTGGCTGTGAACATGAACAACATTTTCCATGCACTGACTCTGTCAATGGGTATTTTTTTTTCAGTCAGCCATTCATCACTTGCAAAATATAAAAGCTAATTGTGTTTCATTTTATTGGTCAGAGGGGATTAGGACAGAAGACGTGCCTTGAAAATATGGCATCTCTGTGTCTCTCACAGCTGAGACTGTAGTTAAAATTCTAATTTGACATGGAACTACTAATGCCCCATTAACTAAGGTCTGTATAATAGATTATGTTGAACTCCCCAGTAGACTGATTCACCTCTCATTTACCTTGGTGTAACTCCAGTGACTTCAGTGGCACTGCTACTGATTTACACCAGTGTAAAATGCATGGGAATCAGGTCTTTTGTATGACTACAGGTCAATACAGATAGGCTTACGTATTTCTTGATCCACCTCATGGTATGTCCCTTGTTTGGGGTTTTTTGTTTTCCCCTCACCTCTTGTCAGGATATATGGACATTTCTGTTTTGCCTCTTATAATTCTCAGTTTAACCACTTTTCCCATTTAGACTTCAGTAATGCATGTTTTGAACAAATTTGTGATAATGTGATGAACAAGGTTGTATAATTGTGAAGTATTATTGATTATTAAAAATTATTGAGGCAATGGAATAACCCTCTTCTCCCCCTTATATCCCCCCTGCAAAAAAAAAGGTAAGCTTCAAAACAACAGTGGAGCTGCTCCATGGCCATTACTCTAACCTCAATGATGCAGTAGTGTTTGTGTCTCCTGTACTGTCCTTGCATTGTGGATTTTGACAAGTGGCTCCACATAGTCATTCATTGGCCATGCCCCTGCCTCACTCCATCTGCAAAAATTGCCATAGATGAGAAACTGAGTGCCCCATCCCAGGGAGATTCTGCTCCTTATGACCCTTCCCATTCACAAGTGGAAGGGAGGACATGTAATTTGTCTTGATATTAATAAAAACAATATAGTTAATGACATACTGCACAGTATCTCTCACATATTGAAGCATAGACATCTAGAAATCCACCACCCTCTGCATTTGTTGGAAATATATGGGATGTGCTCACATATAGCTGTCTTCAAGGTGCTGAAAACTCTAGTGTGATCCAATAAATCACCTAAGCAGGTGCTTACCTTTAAGCATGTGATTAGTTCCATGAAGTCAGTGGATCTATTTACTTGCTTGAAGTACCTGCTTAAGTGCTTTGCTAGATCTAGCTAGAATGTGCTACAGTGTACAGGTTTGAGCCCCTAATCAGAATGTTGGATCTCAGTTCATTGATTTAGAGGACAGAAGAAAACTCCCATACTCCCTGTCAGTATAAAGTAGTGGGTTGCTGACCCTGCATTTAATAAGCTGTCCATAGTATTTTTTCATGGACTGTATGCAATGTGGTAATTTCCACTCCACTATACAAGCCTTGCTGAACTCACAATATTTTCAGACAATGTCTTTATCCAGCAGGAAAGAAACATTTGAAATTTCTGTTTATCAGACTCTTAAAGGACACAAAGTACTTGGAAATGCCTATGTTAAGTGATAAAAGGGAAAGCAGCAGTCACTAGACCTACTTTAACATCCGGAATTATCCACACAGAGTACAATCAATTTCAAATAACAAAAAATAATATATATACAAAATAATTCCAGTATTTCTAAATGCTTTATTTAATTTAGGAGACTACTGTAAATCTATTTATCAATTGGAAATTTATTCATGTCTTATTAATATTAGAAAATAAAATATAAAAAATAAATCTCAATGCACATATTTTTGATAACTGTGACAGGATTTCTGGATAAAAGTAAATGGGAGATGCTCTCATTTTTTCTGAGGGTAGCATCTGGTTCTTGGTCAAAAGTAGCTTGGAGAAAATGTAAATGGCCAGAGCTGGCTTTAAGAAAAAAGATACTGTATACCAAAAGAAAAACCCTTTCCTATCCAATAGCTTGTTATATAAAATACATTTTGTGTATATGTTAGTGTTCTGTGTATATGAATAGCTCACAAAGATTACATCTTTGTGTTCCACTGCTCAGATACTGTGGTAAAAAGTGCCTTAGAAATAGGAGATATTTGTACATATACACATACCCATACATATCCCAATACTTTAATGTACAAAGAGTACAGCAGGTTTCCATGTCTAATTTATGCCAATTACTAGCCTTACCAGTCAAGAGGGCTGATTTAATGGCAAGAACAATTTATTTCCCTCTGGGTAGGTAGAAACAGTTGGACTCAGCTTCTTAAGAGCCTTTGTTCATGAACATCTGTGTTCAAACTCCTGTAGTTAACAGATGATGCTCGCAGTAAAAAAAAAAAAAAAAATTAAGGCTTCCTGTAAATGTCATTGTCAAATTTTGTGGACCTCTACGTAATCGTTATTGGGAGGGAACGTGATCTAACTTGTTGTTACAGCACTTTTATTGAGGTGATTGCTAGTATAAGACCTTTGTGTGACAAATGGCATTTTTCTGTTTCTGACATTATTTTGCAGCCAGCAACATACTTTATGTTAGTATATCAGGCTAAGTTTCCAGAAGTGGTCAGACAGTAAGATTTGCCTGGGCAGTTGTTGAATTGCACAAGCAAGTACATGTAACAAAATATTTATTGTTACAGCTTAAAAACACTTTTAGCCATGCAAGTTGATTTGAATATTAAGTACTGTGAATGCGAATTGTATACTGATGCTAATACACTATGCCACTTTCCAGCTTACAGGGAGCTAATTGTAGCTCTCTGAGTCTCAACCACCTAGCCCCTGTTATAAGTTAAAGCTTGTGGGCTGGGGTGGGGTCTGATCACAGTTTTAATTTACACCAGTGGAGAATTGGGCACAGCTTTGCTCTTGAACGGCTTCTCCGGCATCCTCTCCAACCTCAACACACACATTCCCTTCACTTACAGTGGGAGAAATGGGATGTTCCAGCATAGGAAGCTGCAAAGCCACCTCTTCCAGCTTTGTGCTGGTCAGAAATTCTCCCTATATAAGGAGAATTCTCTACTGCAATTTTCTCTCTGCTTGTGGTTCACTTTATGCAGCTTAAGCAGTATGGACAGGTAAATCTGGCTCTGTAACGTAGTGTCTAGTAGCCTCCCCTCATGTTGCATCTTTCTGCTTGAAGGTTTGATTTGTGGGAGTCTAAAGAACTCCATTCTTTTACAATTATGTACTTAGTGCCTTGTCCACTTAGTTTACTTAGTATACTGTCCATGTTTTCCACGTTTACTGTACAAGAATAGTGTACTAAGTACGTTCATTGTACACGGTCATAAGTACATAATTGTAAAGGGTAAAGTTCTCCAAACTGTATAAACCCATAAAAGAAATACTCCAAGAAAAATATGTGAATCACATTCCACAGGTTAATAGCATAAGGAGGCATGTCACTTAGTATTCACTTACATTTGAGTGATGAAAACGGAATGCAAATACTTTCTAGCTAAGAATTGTAGTTGGTTTTCCGTATGTTTTATTTTATAATTCTGATATTGTCTGCATTTAGGAAGATAGTTGATCGGGTGTTGGACTCAGTGGGGACACACCAGTGTAAAGCTGGTGCTTCCTGGAATGTATTGCTAAATAATGGCTTTCACAAATTTTCACAATTATAATGGTGTTTGTTAAAAAGTCAGTATTTGCCTTTCCACATATTTCCCCCTACATTTAGAACAGGAGATAATTTTGATAACTGAGGTAATAATTGGCAAATATTGACTTTTTAGTATATCCTTCTGTGTTTAGGGTTTTAATACTGGAAAGTACATTGTCTAATGAATGTGCAGTACTGGCAACAGGAATCCTATAGCTAAATTCCAACACAGATTTGAAAACTTGGCCCTAGATATCCACAATACAAAACAAGCACATGTTTGGTTTTGAGTATTGTACCCTTTACTAGTTAATAAAAGTGATGCTGGTACTGTCAACTTGCTAGAGTGATATATGAATGAGGGTGACTGTTGTTAACCTTCACAATGGAAAGGCCTTGATAAGTGCTATATCTACAGCCAGTTGAGAATTTTTTTAGGTTTTTAGCAAAAAATCTCATGAAAAATGTGTCCGTTTTTCATCACAAAATGTGGAATTTTGAAATGTTTTGACCAATACTAGATATATGATAACAATCATGAAAAAGCACTGAATTTTGACTTCTTTTCTTCCTGCAGACTGGTGTTTGCGAAGCTAAAGCTCTTAATGATAGCCATAGAATACAAGTCAGAAAAACGGGAAAGCAGGTACGTTAATGACTAAAAAATTTGACAGCTTTTCAGTATGCACCATGGACAATTTGGTCTTCTCATTTTTTTTCTGAATGAACATAGCTCTTTTGTGCATGTGAAAGCATTTCAAAGCATAATTAATGTGGCATCACCTTACACCAGTTCACATAATACTGGCAGGCTCTGCCTCTCTCCCCCTCTGCACCTGAATTAACATTATGTCAAATACTTTGTTGAAAGAAAGGCTGGTAGTTTTATGTACAACTTACTTCAATAAGTGTCACTTGGTATCAGTGAAACAAATAGCTTCCACCTTTTTTTTGCCCAGGCTGACTTCACGAGGGAGCCAGTCTGCTCTAATCAGAAAAGTAGTGTATTTTACTGGACGGTCAGGAATGAAAGATCGCAACAATCTCATGATAATATGTGCTGTATTATGTACTGCATGCATTTCTCTGCATCACAGTTTTAAATGAATAAACTGTTATTTTTAGAATAAACATGGAAGGTTTGGACAGTATAGATACAATAGATACATATATATGTGTGTAAGAGTGTATAAATAATATGATTGAGCTGGGAAGGATTTGTTTTAGTTAGAAAATCTGAATATGCCAATTTCACTCTCCATCCAAAAATTGAAGGAAAAAATCTTTATAGCTAATAACAAAAATTTACAGACAGAAAAAGAGTTGTTTTATGTATGAGAGCTAAAAAGAGTTCCAGCTTAATGTGCATCGCTGTCAGAATTCTATCTAATTTATCAACACCTCCATCTGTGCATTCACACCACATTCATTGTTACCTGAGATGGTAACAAAACCTCCTGGTCCGTTGCCAGTGTGCTCTAAAAGGGCATGATGCAAAGTAATTGTGGACTTACAAACTGTATTAAATATTTCTGAAATATGTTATCAACATACTGTAGAGAAATCTATTACAAGATTCTGTAGTAAAACTGTTAACATACGCAGAAGTCTGTCATCTTATCTTTTTGGTAACTGGTCACCTAAACCTAAGATGGAGGTGATATTGAGTTTATACAGCGTTAGACCATGTCTACACTACCACTTCTGTCGGCAAAGCATATGTTGGGCAAGGGTGTGAAAAAACACACCCTTGTGCGACGTAAGTTTCACCAGCATAAGTGGTAGTGTGCACAGCATTATGACAGCAGGAGAGCTTCTTCCACCAACATAGTTACCACCGATTGTTGGGGGCGGTTTAATTATGTCAACAGGCAAGCTCTCACCTGTTGGCATAGAGTAACTACAGAAAAGATCTTACAGTGGCGCAGCTGCATCGGTACAGCTGTGCCACTGTAAAGTCTTTAGTGTAGATACAGCCTTAACCTTCACCCGAACAACCAGTTCAGTTCTTAAACCATGTATCACAACTTTGGACATGTTTTTATATTTTTTTAATTATTTGTTTAAAGAATGTTTAATCGTCCCTAAGTATCCATTTTTGTGATTATAAAGAATCTATTAAAAAAGTCCTGGGGTATCCAAGACAGTCTGAATGTTTCCACTTGTTAAGTGGATAGTTGAAATATAGCTCCCATTGAATGTTTGATTTTACATCCCTCTTTTTTTTTACAGTCCTCTGACAAATGATATGTGAAATGGTGTATGTGACGCTGGATTTTCTTTTTGTCCAATACCACTGCAAATTAAGTCAGAATTTTGAAATGTTTTCAACTCCCATGGGCTTATCTTAAAATAGATACCTTCCAATGAATAGCCTCATTCTGCATTAGCAGGTGTAGAGCGAGCAATTTATTGTTTTCATGTTTGATCAGTTTCATCCATTAATAGAAAGGACAATACAATAGATACATTATCGGTAACTATTTACATGAAGTTCTTGGTTTATACTGCTTCTCAATAAGAATTCATACTCAGCTCTTTGCTGTCATTGCTTCCATTGTCATTCTGTGATATAAGTGTTGATATCGTAGTTTTTCTTCAATAATTTAGGAGAGGATCCATCTCCCATGTAGGTCAATTGGAGCCTTCCACCAACTTCAATGGGAGTTGGATTGGTCCTTATTCACATGATGGTACAGAAAAGTCAAATAAAGTAACACAGCGTGATAGAGCATCCACATATATATATTCATTACTTAATGTCAAAAGTTAAAAGTTCATAGTAAAGAAATATGGTAGAAAGTGAGGACAACAGAATTTCTAGGAAAAAATAAAATACTAATGAAGATGAGTTAACAGTTCTGAGACTGTGATAGCACAGTATTTGTTATACAACAGTAGAGAAATCCATTAGTTGGAGGGCCAGCTTTTGCTCTTTTAAACTAGTGCCAAAATAGTACTGTTGGTCTGATGAACCAGGGACTGTTTTAAGGTTAATTATCTTGTGAACCACCATAGCTGGAATATTTACATTTCATTAGAAAGCTTGGAATAATCACTTTCCTGTGACATATGATGTTAATTTATAGTTCTGCTTGTCCATGTGATACTGGACCTCAGTATCACATACTTCTGATACCGTCCTGAATTTCTACCATATGCTTTGGCCCCAGTTAACCAGAGCACTTAAGCATATGCTTAAAAATACCAGTAAATAATTAATGTAATAAATTAAATGAAACCCATGCTTTAAAACCTGGTAAAGTCCCATTGAGTTTAATGGGACTTCAAAGTTAAGCACAGACTTAAGTGCATTGCTGAATTTGAACATGTTAATCTAACCAGAAATGTAATGGTAGAAACCATTCATTTCTCACTTTTTAAGGTTTGTTGAGAATATTGGCTCCTAGAGTCATGCCTGAATTGAAGCAGAGAGATGAGAAAGCAAGACAGTGATCAGAATAACCTGATTTTAAGCATGGGGAGTCAGTTTATTGCATTCGTTATTCACCAATATTTTTTGTTGCTGTTGATTGTGGTGAAAATATCAGACCTTTTTCCCCTCCAATTCTAATGTCTTCAGCATTTAACTGGACCTTAATTGGTAGTTCCTCTTCAATGTGAATAGGGAAGCTGCCTATACCATGGGACTGAACCTAGCTTCACACACTTCTGGGGCAAGGGGTCCACAGTGGAGGTATACAAATTAACTTGCCTCCTTGTATTGTGAAACTTTTGAGAAGTTCTCCATAGTTTACATTCGATGGCAACAAAAATGTTCAGAGGAAAAAATATTTAACTACATGCCCTTGCTTTGAGGACCAGTATAGCATGATGTTCCTGAGTCCGGAAACATTTTGAAGCTCCAGTAACAATTTTTTCAGGGCCAGTGAAAGATTACTTCTTTGAATAGTGTCCCTGTGGGTGCTCCACTTCAGGTGTGCATATACCCCTGAGATTTGATCAGAAATTTTTGGTAGCAGTGCTCGTTCAGCCGACGCATACACTCTACACACCCTCGTGCCCCATACTGAGGGCTTCGCAGGCAAACCGTACTCAGTTTCTTGTCAACCTCCTTCAGCCAGAGACAGAATTTAGTGTGCACCTGTGTCCTCTTTTATTATTATTCTTAGCATTAATAGTTCTTAGTAGTGGTAGATTTAGTGTCTTGTAGATGTTGGAATGTTTGTTCCCACTTGTTTTTCTCTTTTCTTTCAAAAAAATTATATATTCATATTTTTGTTTGTTTGTTTTTCCCCCTACTGAGGGGCCCTAACAAATTTTCTTCTGTCTGGGCTGCTGGGCTCCCTGGGATTTAAAAGGTGCCTCTCTTGTCAAGAAGTAATCCCCATGAGTGACAGGTACTCCCAGTGCATTTGTTGTTTGAGAGACACTCATATTCCCAGCAAGCACTAGATCTACACTTCTTTTAAGGGAAGGTTCCCATAAAAACAGGGAAATAAAGTATAGGCTCTTAATAATAGAGCTAACCTTAAGACTGGCTTCTGACCAGATGCAGAAAACCCACCTGTACAAGCTATTAGTGCCGTGTCGACATTGAGATTACAGTCACTGAGAGCTTCCAAGGTGAAGATGGCATAGAAACCCTGGTCTCTGACAATCTCTATGAGCGAGGTACCAACAACTGCGCTGGCGGTACCAAGAGCTTCCCACTCTAACACAAAGGAGGGGATAAGATGAGAAGAACAGCAAGTTCCTCCTTGAAGAAGATTCAGTCACTGGAGGCCCTGAGATGGCTGCTTGTGAGGCTCTGAGCACTTCAGGTACTATGAAGCACTTCAACTAAGTCCCATACTACAGCGATAAAGGCCAAAGACTACTATTACCAAGAAATAGAGGAATCTACTATCCCCTTGGTACTCACATCAATGCCTTGGACAATGGCATCTGGATCATCATCAGTGCCTGTATCAAGTTCTGTTGTGCTCCTGGTATCACAGACATTCTGGTACCCGAAAGACCTCATGGTACCGAATGAGCCTGAGTCTCCACTCCTTGTGACTTCTGGACACCTCTCAGTACTGAGGTCTGCTGAGTCCCTGACTGCTCATGTTTCTGAGAGACCTACGTCTTCCTTAACTTCTACTATCCATGAAGCAGGGTTGCCACCTCTCATACAATATGTGGAGGAGCATTCTGACTCAGACTCTGAACTTTCAGTTCAAGGGTCTCCACTTTATTCCAGTATCAGAGGGGTAGCCGTGTTAGTCTGGATCTGTAAAAAGCAACAAAGAGTCCTGTGGCACCTTATAGACTAACAGACGTATTGGAGCATAAGCTTTCGTGGGTGAATACCCACTTCGTCAGATGCAGTTTATTCCAGAAGACATTATTCCCTGATGCAGATGCAACAAAACAGGATATCAGACCCCTGCCTACAAATTTTTGGATGATCAACGTTGAATACCTCCCCCCACCATGCCTTTTCGTTCCCCTCACTGGCCTCACTGAGTGGCACACTGTCTGAAGTGGTTCATGACCGTGAGTGCCAACCCATGGGGAGACTGTCAAAAAACACGGCAGATACCCCAAACTGTCCGTATGTTCTATAATTAGATTTCCCCAGCCCAGTAACAAATTTGAACTGAAGCGCTATAATTGTCCTACCATGGAATCAGAAACAGACAGAAATGCCCAGGAGGACTATCTTGCAACTGAGGCAAGCTAGATTTTGTAATAGTTGATTGCTATATACCAAAGATCACTAAAGATTCAGGTGGCTTCCACTCCCAAGAGACCAGTCACTTACCTCAAGTCAATTTGTACCTCAGATCTGGCATCAAAGACCATGCTTGTAGCCAATCCTATAGTAAACTAACTAACGATTTATTAATTAGGAAAAAGAAATACAGGTTAAAGCAGACAAACATATATACACGAATGAGTTACAGTCTGTGGTTCGAAAAGGTAACAGAATTGTAGCAATCTGTCAGCACTGAATGTCTTTTAGGGCTAACCCAGGTTCATTCTGGGGGTCTCTGTTTCTGTTTCATAGCTCCAACCCTGTCAAAGTCCAAAAAGCAAAAGAGATGAAAAATTTTCTTGTTCACCATTTTTATTTCCTTCTTCCAGAATCCAAGCTGATGGGATAATCCTTTTTTCATTTGGACCGCTACATGGGTGTGAAGGGGCAATTAACAAAGTCTTTGTATTGTGATGTCCCACAATGGCCCATTTAGTTTTGATGGCCTTCTTAATCAACAGGAGACAATCTCATCTGACAGATTGATGGTTTCAGGGCAACCATTTTTTACAGTTATAAAGCAAAAACTTAAAGCATGTGATAAAGATATTATAAATGAGATTAATGAATGCAGCAATTTACAAGCGTTTCATAAAATCTAAACACTAAACATATTGTTATAAGTTCAATATCCATACTGACACACAGGCAAAAAGAATGGTTCACAGCAATGAATTTCAGGCCTTGGCTGGGGCCTAAAGCCTCGACAAGAGCTGGCACCTGGTTTGCCAGTGTCACACTGGGATCCTTTGGCAATGTACCACCAGCGATTTCAAGGGACCATGATTCCCAGGAACATAGAATCCCTTGTTCCTGGATACTACCCATCCATCCTCCCCACTCTGAGCCAAAGGAGACCTTAAAGGAGCAAGAGGCAAGGGCAGAGAAGGAGTCCTCCCCCCGCCCCCAAACACACACACAAATATTTCTTGTCATCACCTGATGAGGCAGTAATGCCACAACTGCCTTCATTAGCCAAAAGACTTTAGGCAATTCCAGAACCTGATGAAAACAGGTCGCTGACACCCTGCAAATTCCCCTGGAAGAAGTCTAGGATTCCCAGCACAGACTTCTGGACATATAGCACAGTTCTACCCCAGCACGCGCATCACTGCCAATTAATGAAGCCCTTTTTGAGCCAGCCAAGACCATCTGGCAAACTCCAGCAATGGCCCCCCCGCCCCTGAAATTGGCTTGACAAAAAAAAAAAATACTACGTTCCAAACAGGGATTCTGAGTTTTTATTTTCTTGCCCAGTACCAAATTCTCTGGTAGTGGACAGTCAATGAAAGGGGCAGGCAACATACCCCAAAAGCCACCTTTTATAATAAGGTCCAAAAATGGCTGGACCTTTTTGGTTGTAAAAGCTACTTATCAGCAACCTCCTAGTTCATGATAGCTAACCACCAGGTGCTGAGGTCAAAACATGACTATCTGAACTACATGACCATTTGCCACAGGAACATTGAGAACAGTTTGAGCATAACGGAGTGTCAGCTCTTTGCAAAAATATCACTGCAGGCTTCACTCGATACAGTGGACCCTACAGCTGGATCTGTTTCCACAGCAGTGGTGATGAGACAAGCTTCCTGGCTTCAGTTGTCTAGATTCCTGTGGGAAGCACAATCTATAGTGGAAGGTTTACCTTTCAATGGCCACAAGCTTTTTGCAGACTCCATAGATGACTCGCTTCATACCTAAAGGATTTTAGGGCGACACTTTAGGTCTTTGGGGATATACACACCTGCAAATAAGAGAATATTTAGCAGATCTCAATCAGCACAAAGATCTCACCCTGTTCGATTTTCCATCTTCCATAGGCCACCATAACCACTAGCTAAGAGATTGATATTTTCAAAGAAGAAGCCTACAACTACACTGACTGTTTCATCCCAACCATCAACATCATCCATATGCCAATTTTGATTGTTTGGTCAAGAGTCTAAACCATGCAGTGACCAGAATTTCTCAGGTGCATTACGTAACCCCCCTACTCAATCTGGGGTATCGCCTCTCTCTATTCCATTGAGTATGGGAGGCTATAACATTGGACAAATGGGTATTGGAGGCCATTACATTGGGTTATACCGGTAGTATCCAATTTACCTTAATCCCACTTCCCACTCCCCTTCCCTATCCCTCGTCATGGACCCCTCTTACGATCAATTACTGATACAGGAGATCTCATTGCTCCTAAGTCTAGGAGACATAGAACCAGTTCCACTTCAACACAGGAGAAAAGGGTTCATTCAAAATATTTTCTGATACGTAAGAAAAACAGGGATTGGAGGCTGATACTAGATCTCAGACAATTAAACAAGCGTGTCAGACATCTGAAATTCAGGATGGTGTCCCTAGTAGCTATAATTCCCTCCCTGGAATTAGGGGACTGATTTTTGACCCTTGACTTCAAAGATGCCTATTTCCACATAGCAATTCATCCCTCTCAAAAAAGATTTCTTCATTTCACAGTCACAATTGTTACCAGTATCGGGCCCTACCCTTTGGTCTGTCATCCACCCCACGGGTGTTCTCAAAGATCACGGTGGTTGTAGCAACCTAGTCCATCATCTAGGAATAAGCCTTTCCCTACCTTGACAACTGGCTCCTCAAGGGAAAGTGATATCAGGAGGCATGGTTGGCAGTTGAAACAACAACTTTACTATTCTAAAGTCTAGGCCTGCAGATAAATCTTGAGAAATCGTTTTTGACCTTACACAGCAAATTCTCTTTATAGGAGAATTTTTAGATTTGATAATGAGCAGAATTTCTCTCCCTCTCGACAGGTTCCTTGCTCTAAAGGACCTTATCTAAAGAGTGCAGCTGAACCCTCAAGTTCCAGCAAGGACATATCTGCAACTGCTGAGACATGTTGCAGCTTGCATTTTTGTGACACAGGTTGCATCCTTGATGTCTCCAGGGGAGGCATAGAACAGTTTATATACCCAAAAAACACAGTCTGAACAAACAAGTATCTGTACCCAACTGGCTCCTTCAGTCACACACCTGGTGGCAGAATCCTTCCAAGGTTTGTGCAGGAATCCTGTTCACCCAGAATCCCCCTATTATTATATTAACATCAGATGCTTCTCTCTTGGGATGGGGAACACATTTGGGTCCTCACATAGACCAATGCAAATGGTCCTGACAGGAACAATGCTTGCACATCAATATGTTGGAGTTAAGAGTTATCAGAACTGCTTGCCTTCACTTTCTTTCCCTAATCAAAAACAAGTCCATGAAGATCATGACAGACAATGTAGCTTGCATGTATTATATCAGTCATCAGTGGGGTGTGCGCTCCCCCCACACTGAACTGAAGTGATAAAGCTGGAACTGATGCATAGCCAATCAGATAATCATCTCAGCTTCTTACCTCCTGGGTACACAAAACAACATGGCAGAGAACCTCAGCAGATATTTCTCCCTAAATTACAAATGGGAGTTGGATTCTTGATCTTCAAAAAGAATTCCTAGCTTGAGAATGTCCACAGGTTGACCTTTTAGCCAAGGCAGCCAACATGCAGTACAGGAAATTCTGTTTCAGAGGGGGACTTGATCCCCAATCTCTAAGAGACATTATCCTTATTACATGCACAAAAGATCTTTTTTATACATATCTTCCAACTCCATCGCCTTTAAATGTCCTCATCAAGATCAAGCAAGACCAAGCCAAGATCATTTTGATTGCTCCAACTTGGCCAAGACAAGTTTGGTTTCTTACCTCATTAAACTCACCTCTTGCCCTGCATGGTGGCTCTCAATCAAACCTCGACTATTGTCTCAGGATGCAGGTCAGACACTTCTTCCCAATCTGAACATTCTTCAACTACAAACATGGTTCCTGAGTGGTTCTCCAGACCAGAGGCCACCTGTTCATCGGAAGTACAAAATGTACTTTTAAATAGCAGAAAGAGATTTACCAGACACACTTGCCTTCAGAAATGGAGAAGATATAATCTTTGGTGCATCTGGTGCCATCTTTCTCCTATCTAGTCATCTTGTTCCACAATCTTGATTTACCTGTTGGAATTGAAAGCTTCAGGTCTTTCTACGGGTTCCATTCAAGTTCATTTAGCGGCAATAACAGCTTTCCATGTGCCAGTAGTAGGTTTCTTAATATTCACTCAGCAAAACAGAGCAAGATTCCTGAAAGGCTTTATGAGTCTTTTCCCTCAGGTTAGAGCCCTGACACTGCTTTGGGATCTCAACCTGGTTCTTAACTGTCTCATGAAACAACCCTTTGAGCCACTGGCTATGTGCTCACTGTTACATCTGTCTATGAAGATGGCCTTTTTGGTGGCCATTACTTCTGCTCAAAGGTTTGCAGAGATGGGGGCTTTAATTGCAGGCCCTCCATTTACTGTGTTCTCCAAGGGGAAGGTATCATTAGGACCCCATCCAAAGTTTTACCTAAGATTTCTGCTGAGTTTCACGTTAACCCCAAACTAGTCACCTTTTGTTTTGTTTTTTCCCTAAGCCGCATTGGCCTACCCAGGAGTCTATCTTCTATACATTAGATGTTAAGAGGTCACTAGCCTTTTACTTCGACAGAACCAGGCCATTCAAGAAGACCCGTAGATTCTTTGTTTCTATTGCAGATAGGTCAAGGGGAAGCCTCTGTTTCCACTCATTGACTTTCTATACGGATTTCTGGATACATTATTGCCTCTTCTTGTTTTGCTGAGGTTCCGCCTCCACTACAAGTGACTGTGTGCTCTACTAAATCATAGTCTATGTTGGTAGCCCACACAAAAACATTCCAGTTGCTGAAATCTGCAAGGCTGCAACGTGGTCATTGGTGCACATGTTTTCTGCCCACTATGTCTTGGTTCACAATGCAAGATCAGATGCTGCAGTAGGTCACACAATTCCTTCTTCACCGATGGACTCTGTTCCAAAACTCCCACCTCCTTGAGGGATTACTGCTAGGGAGTCACCTGAAGTGGAGCACTCACAGGCATGCTACTTGAAGGAGAAGAAGAATTTACACAGCTCGTGTAGTAAGATGAGTTTTTCGAGATTTGTGTCCCTGCAGGTGCTCCACTACCCATCCTCCTTCCCCTCTGCTTCGAAGCTACCTCTGTGGGACTTTGTGGTAGAGAAGGAAATGAGGGCAGTTCACTCATGTGGCCTTATATAGCCTCGTTACAAGGTTCAAGGATTTGCAGGGCTCATATGCAGGCCAAACGGGCACCGCTACCAAAAAATCTCCGCTTAAAGGCGCACGAGCGCATGCACATCAGAAGTGGAGCACCCACAGGGACACACATCTCGAAGAACTCCAGTCACTGCACAAAGTGAGTAAGCTATCTTTGTGTACTGGGCCTGCACAACAAACCAGATGATAACGTTTGTTGTCCCTGATTTCCATTATTATTTTTAATAATACATGTTATTTATCTGTTTTTATAAGCAAATTATATACCTGTTCCTATAGTTGCACAGAAAAGCACCCTCTAAAGTCAGTGATAGTTTTCCGGTGCAAGAATCATAGGATGAGACATACTAGTGTATGCAATTTTTACAGAGATACATAGTGAAATCCCAGCACCACTGTAATCAATAGCAAAGCTTCCATTGACTTCAGTAGAGCCACAATTTCAGCCATAGTGTAAATATCCATTTCCCTAAGCAATCATTTGCTGTGTACATATTTCATGATCCTTTTTTACCTTTGTTACTTATTTTTCACACTGAAATTTAAAGATCTATTTTATTTTGTGAAGAATATGATTAAATCCTCTTTTTTTAAATGTAGATCTTTTCAAAAGCTTTTCATTAAAAAAAGAAACCCAATAGTTTATGCCAATCCAACTATAAATAATACAGCCATATACACGGTGAATGTAAAATATAATTTATGAAACAGATATTATGAAGCTACATAGACCATATTTTAGGTGATTACAAATTCCTCATATTAGATCTAATGCATAATTATATTTTACCTTATGGCATTTTAAAAGTAACATAATATATTACAGTTAGGTTCAGTTTTTAAGAGGTCGCTCAATTTAAAATTTTGATCCTGATTTGGAATCCACTAACATAGATCCCTGCACCTGTGCAGAATCTCACTTAAGTAAATGGAATTCCCTAGAGGTGCACTCTAGCTGATTCCAGTGTCAGATCAGAATCTGAATTAGCTGCTAGTGTATTTGAAATAATGTATTCTACTCTTGGGCTAATAATCCTGGATACAGTTGGTGTTAACATGCTTGAGAAACACTTCTTTAGATTTACTGTTGTTTCTATGATGCAGCCCCAAAGTTTATTTCTGAAATACTATTTCTTAAACCAGTTGCAGCAACGCATAATATCCTATGTAAAAAAAAATTAGTCCAAAGGGACATGTAGAGAATCTGTCTGAGATCATGACAGAAAAAAGTTATTGAATATACAGAAACCACATCAATGCAAATTGCAAAGATACACACACAATCCCTATCCTAATCCCTCAATGCCATTTGGAGTTTTCCATTGCCCCCCCCCCTTTTTTTTTCCTTCCTACAAGAGTAAGCAAGAATGAAGGCCTAACAAACATTCTTCCCTCACGCACCCTGTGTTTTACTCCTCTGTTAAATATTCTCTTTGTCTTTCCATTTATTTGTCCTCATTCTCAGCAGAAAAACCTTTTTTTAATGTTATGGTCATTGAAGAATTTTAAATAAAGGGTTTTTTTGCTTTTGTTTTGGTGTCAGTTGATTTCTTATCAAAGTGTTTGATTTGCAATTTTTTTCTTGTCGTTTGCAGAAGCCGAAAGCGGTATGCCCTCTTCGTTACCTTTCCTTCCAACCTCAACCCTACCTTCACTCCTTCTAACTTCAGGACTAATTCCTTGCCAAGAACTCAGGAAGATAACACCTTTGTCTATCTTTCTCTCTATATATGTACATATATATATATATTCATGTGTCTATGTGTGTGTGTATATATATATATATGCATATTTATATATGAGCCCCCAATTTCAAAGAGGAGAGAAAATAGAATCATTTTGTTTCTTTATTGGTTCTTGTGACTCATGCACTAACTTCTTTGCAGGAATTATAAAATTAAATAAAAGCATTAGACTTTTATTTCATCGTGTACCCATTGATGTATCCAATTATTACATTTGGAAATCAAACTTGGTCTGCTGTTCACCGTCCTTTTTTCTCTTTTTGTTAATTTGTTTTGTATTGTGACATGTCCTCTGTGTCTACCAGTCTTTGTGCTGCCATTTTAACTCCATATTCACAACTTTATTGATAGCCTCTCTTCCCACAGAGTCTTTCTGTAAAATACATGTTTCACAATACAATACTTTGTGCTCTTGTAGTTTCGCCTCCCATTAACAATGACCAAATGCCTGATTTTTTTGCATTGCTGATTCAGATTAATTATAATACAGTACTCATTAAAGCTACTGTACTGTTCCAGTGAAGTACCTATAGGTAGTTTAGGCTGTATGTTCATATTCATTTTATTACATGAGCTCATTTATTGAAACAACTCAAATGAAAGAGTTTGCTTCGTTTGTTTTTTCTTTGTGTTGGCATGTTTTGCATATTCTTTTAATAACCACATTACAGGCCTCATCTCTAGCCTACATTCCATTTTGTTGTTTTTGGTTTGAATGAAATAAACAAGGCGGGACCTACCACGTCCCTATTTTTTAACAATTTATCACAGTCTGACTCTTTGTGGTGTCCTTTGGAGACTCCTGATTGTCGAGATGTATTTCAGTTTCCTACTTAATCACATACTCCAACCTTAATTTCCACATTTGTTCTGTTGTGTGTGTTCTGTGTGTTGTGTTTATTTTCTTTATAGTCTTACTCTACTGTGTTTTTTGAGTCGATGTGTGAAAAGAGAGGTGGCTTCCTGTCAGTTTGGCATTGTTGATATGATCCAACTGCAGAGAAGTTACTGCAACACAGCATCTTCAAGGATCTGCAGTTGTTGCACCTCTACTTGGCTTCTTGCTTTTGAGTATATTTATCTTGTGGTGAAGGCATGCTGATTCTGGCATGTTGAGCAGTGTAAAAAAGTGTGGTACAAAGTCCAGTTGCTTGCTCCCAGAATAAAGTACATTATGCTGCTGAGTTCATTTATTTCCATTGTATTCCTAGTCGATTCACATCTTAAACCAAAAACACTAATTAAACTATTTTACAGTGTATTAATTTCAGCGCAATTATTGAACTAGTGCTAGCATATCCCTGGTAAAGTACCTTATGCGCGCATGGCACACTTAATAGTCATTCTTATTAAGAACTTAATTCCTGGGAGCAACATTTTGTGATTCTGTTTGCTTGTAGTAACTAAGCTTTCATATACTATAGCATGTAATGTTGCAATGTGTCTTTTGCCTTGTATCCTTTTTAGTGTCATAATAGAATTTTCTATGTATAGCTATATGGAATTTGTACTCATGTCAGTCATAGAGCCCAGAAGAAAGAAGCAATGCCTATGAGTTACAAGCGGTGTGCAGCTGGTATTCACACAGATCCCACACGCTGGTTTGTGCACCAACCCTCACACATGCTTTCAAAATATATTCTGAAAAGCCATAATGGTTCAAATTAAATCTATAATTTATAGCTGTTTTCATGACATGGCACAACTAAAGAGGCCATTGCACTAATATTGTGCATTTCATCTGGGCACAGCATGAACCAGTTTAAAATGGTAGCTGTGTTTATATGTGTGATAGCTATAGTCAATAACATCCCATTATCTCGTTTCAGTTAATATAAGTATTATAATATAACTATTATAATATGTGACTGATGAATATATTAGAGTTTCTATTTTAGTTGCCTGGGGAATGGTACAGTACATCTACCACAAGGTTTAAACCAGAGTTGTCATGGCCTTTTGTCACTGATTTAGTTCAAAGTTTGCCATTTTTGCTTCATTGAGTTAAAAAATGGACCCGTATTTTTAGACCAGGATCAATGGCAGGTAGGAGCGTATCTGAAAAATATGAAGAGGAATATCGCTGGGTCAGAACGGGTCTCTTGGCATGGATCTCCATGAGTGTTCTGCTATTTATTTATGTGTACATATTACATGTTACATGGTGAGGTTAGATATTAGCAATTAGGGATTAAATTTTCATAAGTCACTTAGAAGAACAAATCCTGTTTTACAAAGCTCCTAAGTCACTTAGTGCTTTTGCAAATTTATCCTAATGAAAGTAAAACATAACGTACTAATAATACTGTAGAATGAGACATAGTTTGGCTCATACTGTGGGAGTTTCCCAACAAAGCTCTACCAATACACCTCCATTCTGACCTATGTCATCCGTTTGTCTTCCAGTCTTGGGGCTCCACACAAGGTTCCTGTTAAGGTGCCTTGCCTTGATCTGCTGTCTTCTCTGCTATCTCCATTCTGGTTTCCATCTGCCAGTGCATCTTAAACTAATTCCTGTCCTGTGTCATCCCTGGTAATCGAGTTTGAGGTCTTGAGAACAAATCAGACAGTCATACGAGACTTGGAGGTAGCTTTGTGATATGGAACCATTGCCCAGTCTAGGGACCCAAACTTGTGTTCATTTGTGATCTGATCAGAGGTTTCACTTGGGCAAAAGGCCAATAAATTAATGCACTATGACACATTCTTTTTCATAAATTCATTTTCAATAACTATTTGCAAACTAATATATAAAACTCAATAGGAATGCAGACAATAAATCTTATGGTTCACTTTTTCTATGAGTGAGACTGAAGGTAGCTGGACAGTATGGGAAGATGGAAAAAGTTTTCTCCTCCTTCTCTTCTCAAATGTATGAACGAGGGTTTTTTAATATATTCTAATAGCATAACAAAAAATTATCTCGTATTAAGCTTTCTACCAAGTCAAGTAATTGAAAGAATTCTCACCAAAAAGTGGCTGGTCACTTTTTTACAATGATAATTTGTAAACTGAAATTCAGGCCATCCCGTGCCCGGCGTAGACATCAGACAATGCAACAGTAGTAAAGATGAGCACCCCAAGAAAGTCTCACAGATGGTTATAAAAACAGTACTAGATTTTGATGCCTATAGAGAAGGCATTTATACAAGTAACAGTAACATCATGCAAACATACTGTATTTAATATTTTATGCAAACCACTGTATTGATACACTGTGTAACCAGTTCTATCCATGTAAAGTGAGAGGTAATATACGCATGGCTCATGGTCTATTACTGTGACTCTGAGCTATTAGGATATTTTCTGGTGAGTTTCTGCTTAGATACTGGCAGTGGATGGTTTGTACATTTAAAACACCAGAACAGAAACGATGTGGTTCTCAATACCTTGAGAGTTCAATTAACACCCCAGAAGCTACTGTTGGATATCTCTTTCTCATGTAGGTACTTATAGACCACAACCAAGTCATGTCTTAACCTTCTCTTGGAAAAACTAAATAGAATGAACTGTACACAATATTCCAGTAATATTCTCACTACCCTATCCATCTCCCTCCTTGATAGTCTCCTGCTTGTACATCCAAGGATTGTTCTAGCCCTCTTAACTATTGCATCACACTGGGAGCTCATGCCCACTTGTTACCTGCCATGACTCTAAATCCTTTAGAGAGTCACTGCATTCAAGGATATGCTTCCTCATCTTGTAAATGTGACCTACATTCTCTGTTGCTAGATGTATGACCTTGCATTTTGCTGTATTAAAATGTAGGTTATTCAAATGAGCCCACTTTACCAAGTGGCCCAGATTATACTAGAGCAAAAGTTTTCAAACTATGGTCTGAGGGCCACAGAGAAATTGCTTGTGGTCCATGGAGAATTGACTGGTCACATGGTACTGCCTCCTTCTCCCTATTTTCAACTGCTAAATTGCATTAAACTGCAGCTAAAAATATATTAAATACTTTCCTAATATTTGTTTTCTATGTAAAGATGCAACAACAGCTGCCACATGACCCACACATTTACGAATGGTAGGGCAGGTTGCCAATGAGAGAATCTTTGTATTGAAATGTTGTCCATGTTGTGAAAAAAATTGAGATCCCCTATGCCAGAGGAATATACTCCTGAAAGTGAGGACTGCCAAAGAAACTACATATCAAAAGTGTTCTAGCTAGCTACTTCTTCATTAGCGCTGAAGCTAACCTAAACAGAAATATAATAAAATAGGGAAATTTGATTCTGTCTTTAAAAGTTCAAAATTATATGATGTTCTTTGTCTGATTTCATAGACTGGTATTAGATTAAAAAATGATCAAATGACTTTGTGATATCAGTGAATATTTGGAAAAATCAGGAGATGTTCATTTTTCATAGCATTGTTCCAATGCATGGCATACAATGCTTTTCATAGTTTGTTCCATTCACTGCTATTCACTGTGTATAAAAGACTAGGGATACATAAAGGAGATGTTGAGACTAGATGAAGTTCTGGTAGAAGTCCTCCTTTTTTAGAGCCCCAAGTTTACTATACCACACCATCTTCTCCTCTGTTGAGAAACAAAGTAATTCAAAAAGTTGGTATTATGGTTGGCTTGTTATTCAGATACATGTCATTGTGATGATAATTAAGTTATTGTGAAGTTCACAGGTTCTTTTTTTTCCAAGTCACCAGGGCTAGCTCCAGCATTTCTGCCGCCCCAAGCAAAAAAAAAAAAGTCAAGATCGCGGCAATTGGAAAAAAAAATCAACAACCTGCGATCGACGGCGGCAGTTTAGCGGCAGGTCCTTCGCTCCTAGAGGGAACGAGGGACCTGCCGCCCCCGAATTGCCACTGGTGCTGCCCCTCTCCTTTGGCCGCCCCAAGCACCTGCTTGTTAAGCTGGTGCCTGGAGCCGGCCCTGCAAGTCACTCAAAAATCTTTTACCCCTATAACTACTTGAATCAATACTTAGCATCACTAGCCTGAGCTATATTTTGATAGCCTTTTGTAAGATAGCTGTCCCATCAGAAGTTGCTTTTATAAGCCATGCAAACTGGGTAGAATTTGCTTGTGAGTAGCCGATGCTTGTATTGCCTGTACATCAGAGGGTGAGAATAAAATCAAACCTGTGTGAGCCTCTGCTGTTATTTATTGTTAATAACACTGATAAGATCGATTTCTTTTTATTCCCATCACATACACAGTCACAAATCCTTATTTTGTGGTTAAGACCTAGTGCAGTACAAGATCTTCTGACAGATATGAAATCAATTCATGTGAGTTAATATTACGCATATATATTAAAGGTGAAACTGGAAATGCCACCTAAAGTTAAGTTTGCCTGGCACTTCCCATTATAAGACCCTGTTTTCAGGTGCTTGTCAGCTTGTTAAATTTTTACTGTTTGGGAGAAAATTTTCCATAGTGGGTGTCTGCCTCAGGCTGATCAATTTCCAAGAATGAGATTAAGGAAAAATATGTTCTTTTCCTCATTAAAAACATTTTTACAGCCATTTCATCTAGCATCTCCATGCTTTGGAACAAGAGCTTGACATTTGTCGTAGGGATTACTAATGTGTCAGGGATATACCTTTTGCTCTTTCTTTGAAAAAACACACAGATTTATTAACATTTGAAAAATCCATTTGCATATGGTCAGTAGAGATTTGTTACCGTTTGGCAGCTGAATTCTCAGATTACTCCATCTGCACTGAGCATGCTCTATCCCAGGACTGTCAGGGCTGTCTAGGACTTTCCCTGAATTGCTTCTTTTCGCTTCTGCGGCTGCTTTGGCACTGGGTACCAGTACTGAGAGCAGGCAAAATGTCACTCTTGTGTTCTTATTGTCCCCCCCTTCCCCTCCCCCATTTCTGGCATCCTGGCAGTTTGGAGGAGTAAGCAACCTGACTCAAACGCAGAGGGGCCAAGAACCTGATGTCGCAGGGAGGAGAGTCGCTTAGGACAAGGAACCTCGGGTGGGAAGGCTGGAACTGGAAATTGTGGGGGGAGGAAGAACGAGTGGGACTGTCTGGGCAAGGAGACTGTGACTGAGATGAAGAGTGTGGGAGTTGGAGACTGGGACCGGCTAGGTGAGGAGACTGGGTCTAGGATGAGGAGTTAAGGGCAAAACTAAGACAAGGAGCTGTGAGGAAGGGGAAAAGATAGGACAGGGACAGGCTTGAGAGGGTGGGCAGAATGGGTCAGGTTTGGGTGGGACAGGAGCAGCAAGGTCTGTGACCTCAAGGGAACACTGCCCTCCAGAATCTGGAATGGAACCCATGATTCCTGAGTCTCAACATTTTTTCTGTTAGCAAATATCTGTGAAACCCAACCACTACCAAAGTATGTGTCTCATCCACCTCTAGTGGATGACAACTTACTGTTGCTATCAGTTTCTCTGTTAGCTTGAGTAGCAGAGGGCTGTGCGGTAGTTCTAAAGACTCCAGCTATGCAGGTGTCAATATGATTCCATGTAATGGAATTTCTGATTTTTTCAGTTTGCTTTTTTAAAACCTAGAAAATTGTATTAATCCCTCCGACCTCAAGATAAAAAGAACATTGAAGTTGCCAAGTCAAGCACTCAAAAGTTAGGAAATGTCAGATTTAAGGTTACTTGTGCATCTTTAATTCATTCCCCTTGTGCACATGTATTATGATACGGTCTTTAATTACATACTTTTTTCAGGACCTCTTGCCTCTTTCGTTGCACAGGATGGACTGTATTTTAGGAACAAATTCGGGTTGTGTAGTGATGAAGGCTATTGTCTGTAGGATCCAAGCCTCGTTTGTTGCCAAAGTAGGAGCTGTGTCATGAATGAGGCAAGGGAGACTTTGTACATACAAAGTGCTATAAAATGCTAAGTACTCTGAAAAATCAGGCTGTTTAGGAAGTACTCAGCTACTATAGTGCTGAAAAACCCATGAGCCAATGAATAACTCTAGAGCAGGGTTTCCTGAACAGGGCCACAGGTCAAGCAATAAAGATAAAACAAACTATTGAATAGCTTTTTGTTCACTGAGCATCATCCATCCTATGCAGTGCATGAGGGAAAGGTCCTGAGCTACAGATAATATATGATCATGACAATGAGGACTGTATCATAAAATATATGCACGAGGGACTGAATTAAGGTTGCACAGGCAGCCTTAAATCTGACATCACCTGACTTCTAAATGCTGATTTTGCAAGCTTAATATTCTTGTCACATCGGACTTTAATGTGTACATATATGTGTGTGTGTGTGTATAAGTAGGTGTGCAGATGCACACGCACAAGTACATACACATTCAGTATATAAAATACAGCATATGAAAATGTTCTCTAGTTAACAAAAACATTCTATACTTACCAGCATTATCCAACTCAACAATTTATCAGTAACTAAGACTATCTAAACATTTGATCCTATATTTTCCCCAAAATAATAAGGCTACAAATCTTTAGCATTGCATGCACTTGCAATGTTAGCACCTTATGTCCATTCATATATACATCTTATCTATTGCTATGTTGGCATCTTCCCTAAAAGTCAGTGTCTGATATAAGCCTGCAAGCATCATAGTTTCTTTTAGTCCTTGTGTACTGTAAGTCTTGCATGTGTACTCTTATTACTCTTTAACTTACAAAGATTAAACTTGACCAAAACAAAAAACAAAAACAAAAAAAGGGAAACATTTGACAAGCTTTATTAAGTGTTTTGTCAAGTTAAGAGCTTAGTTATATTACACTTCAAAGTAAAAGAAGATGAAGAATAAATATGGCTACCTGATACCTTATAATATTGCCTGAACCAAAAATACTCTGGTGCTAAACCTTTATGACAATACAGCAAATATTTTACACATAAGCAGAGATCAACACACACCATGTTAACTTACAATTTCCTCCATCAAACTGAGTTGCAGTCACTCTGTTAGGGTGGCTGGATTATTATTTTTTTCTTCCAGGGGCTGCATAGCAATGTTTTTTTTAAAATGTTATATTCATTTTATGTTTTCCTCAGCAATAGCGACTGGTTGTCATGTACCATTCCCCTTGAGTGTATGTGTGTATTTATTATATTATGTACAATAATATAATATATACAGATAGGGGTCCCATTATTTCTCATTTCAAAAGAAATTGGCACAAGGATGTTTAAAATGGTTTAATTTTACAAATGACTCTTTGTACTGGTTTCAAGTGGTGGTTTCCTTGGGGGATCTCTTCCCTTTTCACCATATCATGAACTTTTTCATCAGCCTGAATAATAGTGCAAGAAAGCTAAACTGCTCCGCTTCACATGTGGTTTTTCTGAGATGCTTTTTTTGCTTTGTTTTGGTAAAAGATGCTAATTATTTGATGGCTAGAACATAAGAAAGTAGTGACTTAAGAGCTGAAATGGTGATATGATTTTAAGGGAAGATACATGGTTGTTGCAAATTTAAGTTCTGTAATGATACCCATTGTTGATGTTTAAGCGTTGATCTGATTGGAAATGTCAAAGAAGAAAATGGCTTCAAATTTCCTTATAGCCTTTCCTGACTAGTGGGTCCCCTAGAATAAAACAAAAATAGAGCATTTTGGAGCATTCAATTAAAAGTGATATAAACTCATAGCTTTGTCTTTTTGTTTGTTTGTGTTTCATTGAGCAGTATATTAATCAATCCTGGAAACCACGTCAAGATTCAAGAAGGTACTTTAGGATTCTTCATTGCAAGTGATGCCAAAGAAGTGAAAAGGTAATTTGTTTATTGCATCTTTTTAATTAAAAAAATGCAGTCTCTTCCTTATTTTATTCTTTACATATAGAGCTTCGCCCCAACTCCCATAGAAGTCAGCAGAAGGATTCATATTTCTTCAATGGGGGTTGAATTGGACCAAATGTACATGCTTCTCATGTTGGACTTTTTCCCATGGCGAAAAAACTTTAACTGAAATAAAATGAAATAATAATTTTGCAGCACCTATGAAAAAAAACCAAAGAGATAAACATTAAGTTTGGGGGGGAGGAGGGGTTAACCTCAAAAAACCCACTTTGCATATGGGCCAGATGATCTACTGTTGTAACGTAATTGACCCTAGTGGAGTTATTTGAGCAGAGAACGGGGTCCCTAGTTTTGGCCTAAGGTTTAGGTGTTTAGAGAAATTCTTTTATATAGGGACAGTTTCAGCAACCTCAACAAATAATTGTTGTGGGCAAACTGAGCAGTATTCATTCAGCATTACATTGGCGGTATGACATGCCCTTGTTACTATTCTTTATCAGAACTATATACTGTGTAGGCACATAATAATGAATCAAACTAAAACAGAGCAGTACTTCCCATCCAATGTGGGCTACTTTACCTGTTTAGCAGTCTAAGAACTTGGCTGTATCAGCGAGATTAGGGTTTGGAGTATTCAAGCTACAGTTATACAAGAAAACTTTGGTCTCATGCCTAGCAGCCACCAAAGTGTGTCATTATTAGACCCCAGTGCACACCCAGTGTCTCGTGATTATCAAGTCTTTAGAAAGATAAAGTGATGTCAGAAAATAATTTCTAAGATAAAGAAATAACTTTTTAAAACATTTTGAAGATAAATAGATTTTTAAAAAGCTAAAAAAGTAATTTGTTGCCTGGTCATCCCTCCCAAATGTGTTACTCCAAAATGAAAAAGAAGACACTCCAATCTGCAAGAAATAGAGTTGGCTGCCATTTTTATTTTTTAAATCATGCTGAACTTGAGTTCAAGAATCAGATTATTATCTCAGAACTGGCCACCTTCTCCCTCCATAACCATTCCATCTTATAGGCCATGAAGACTTTCTTCCAAGGTGCAGCTGTGCCCATCCAAACTGTGGGAAGCTGTCTCCAGAACCATCCTCCCCTCTTCAGCCCTATTGTGTTAATCAATCCACAAGAGCAGGTCCCATATCTGAATACAGTACAGAGGTCTAACCACCTCCTCCTCCTCTGCTCTTACCACAGATTCCTGGATTCTTGCAGATATACATGCTCTGATTCTGGTTCATAGATATCAGGCCTGCTTAGCACCTGCTCAACTACAGGGCCCCTTCCAGCCAGCTGCAACATGTCAGAATTATTATAAACATTCCAACCTCCAGCTGCCTGCAAACCCTATTCTGCCAAATGATACCTGTGAGTTCCATCAGTGTCAAATGGCGCAGAAGTGATGCACTGAGAGAGGTGAAAATCAGCCCTTGACTAAGCCTACTCTGCCAAAGAAGGAACACTCTTTGCCAACTCCAGAGTTAGCAGTTTCTGCAAGCCAGGGAATACTACCTACCCCTAGCAAAGTGACCCTACCTGCTCCTTCCCAAATAAACATTCCCCAACAGCCAAGCCAGCCACTGAGGGAGAAGGGGCACCTCTTCTGGTCTCCCTCCTCTTGTAGCTGGCCTCTAATGGAATGTCTCCTAATTTGCACAGGTGCCGGTGAATTAGGCCTTTGAATCTCCTTCCTTATCTGTAAAATGAACAGAATAATACTGAGGTATCTCAAAGGGATGGCATGCAGATTGCTTAATATTTGTTCAGTGCTATACTAGTGCTGCATATCTCAAGAGCTAAACTGTCGATTTAAGCCCCAGCCCTGCAAGAGGCACATGATTCCAACAGGTGCTCACAGTTTCCTCTTCTCCCTTACACCAATTTTAGACTGAGGTAAGCATGTTGATATCAGTCTTGTTACCCCTCAAAAGAGCACTGCATGCATTCTCGCTGGTGTAACATGGTGGCCTGCCCTTGGGCTGGAGAGCCTGGGCTAAGCCAAGCCTGATTACACCTGAGGGAAATCAAGCAATCCCAGGCTAAAAGACAGCAGGAAGCTTCAGTAGGAGGGGGCTGAGAGAATAACTGAGCCTGACATTAAGAGGAAGAAAGTTGTCTAGACAGGGTCCTGGGAGACACCATGCCCAAGATGCAGGACAGAGTCTGATAGACAGACCCTTTGGAAGCAAGGGGCTGTGCCAACCTGACATTGGGATAAAGACGGGTATGAGTTGTTCTGTTTTTCAAAGATTAAATGTTATTTTGGCCTTCTGGGTGAGCGATGGACTGGGGCTGCAGCCTGTGTGTTCCTAGAAGTCTAAATAAGTAAGACCCCTTTTGGGGATTGTTTGAACTTTTTGAACTGGAGGAGTTCTTAAAGGGTCCTGAAGAGGTGGAAACACAGGCAGGGTGCTGATGAGCAATCTGTGGCCCAAAGGGAGACACAGGAGGCAGCTGCCCCTAATACAGCTGGGCCCTGCCCTTTCCCATCTCCAGCACCGCCTTTGTGAAAGCTATTACAGTGGGCACTAGCCTCTCAAGCAACCTGTGAGCCCAGCAGGCAGTTCTTGTTCTCTCTCTTGCCTCTTTCCTTTTCCATGTGCACAAGGCTATTCACATGGTAGCACCAAGACACTAACCTGTGTATTTACAAAGTGTTTTAGCCATGCAGTTCCCCGTTAAAGTTAATGGAGACTGCACTGGGAGAAACCTGGCATGGCCTTTTTGAAATGATAGAAGTTGAATAATGAAGATATATTTAGAGTAAATTTACTGAGCACTTGTATATCAATTTTCATCCATGACAACAGCAAGTTGAAGCAGAAGCTCTGACTTGCCTTTTCCAGAAACCTTCGGCCAGAAGTATGCAAGGTTGCTGCCTCTCTTCCCATATTCCCTAACCATTCTGTACAAAGCAGATCTTTATCAGATGTGCTTCAGCTAACGTAGCCATTTATGAAAATTGCCAATTTCACCTTTGTAACTTGATGAATCAGAGTCAGAAAAAATCTTCCAAAATTGAGAGAAACTGAATCCCCCTCCATGAATTCTCTGCCTTTGTTTTCAAACAAGTGATGGATGCTTTAATGGGATCTGAATGGCAATAAAAAAGATTCTAGGAGAGTAAAAAACAGGATTTCTACCTAAATACAATAAAAAAACGTATGTTATATACTTGTAGCTCAAATTAAATGTTTTTGTTTATGTGTTATGTGCTCTAAGAGATGCTGGCAAGTCTTTTAGGTTAGAACTATACCATATTGCAATGCATATTTAACACTGTTTATGCACCATAATTTGTAGTAGAGTAATTTTGTATATTGCTAAAACAATGATTTTTTTATGTTTTTTTAAATAATAGGTACATATTACACACCTTTATGTTAAGGATTTATTGAAGAGAATAGCTGTATATAAAAGGTTGAATGCTAATAATGTGTCATAGGTACAATATGAGTGGTGTCTTTTTATCATTCTTTATCCACTTACATTTTATTATGCATTATGGAAATCTATTTGTTTTAATTCTTTTATCAATATGGTAATTTCATTTTTAAAAGCATCTGAGTCACTTATTCTTGGTCTTGCACCTAAGGTATGCCTGCACTGCAATCTGCAGTGTGATTGGAGCATGGGTAGACATACCTAAGATAGCTTTCCTCATGCTAGCACAGCTAAAAATAGCAGAATAGGTGCCGCGGGCTTCAGTGCAGCCTAGCAACATGGGTCCCTGACATGCTTATATAGCCCCTGTATCGATGTTGCATCTAGTGCAGGTATGTCTATCCAAACATCAATCACACCTCAGATTGCAGTGTAAACATGCCCCCCAGAGAGTATCATGGGCATGTCTACTTCAGCAATGGGATCTGGCAGCATGGACCTCACACCTGTGCAGCGTCTGTCTAAACTCGTAGGGATTTGGGGAAGGATCTGTGCTAAAGATCCTGCTTCAGAAGTGGGATCTAGAACTGGATTAAATGTCTAAAGGGGGAACTGCAAAAACTGGAGAGGAAATTTTGGCCAACAGAAATAGTAGGAAAATCCCATAGTCAGGAGAGAGGTGCCTCTCTGGAGTCCACATGGTCCATAGACGAGTAGAGACTGCCACTCTTGAGTCCCAATCCTATCTCTGACAGTGACTGGCTTGAATATATCATTTAGCTAGTCCCCATAGCAGGTTTAGAACTCAAGACGGCTAGTGCCATGCTGACTCCACTAAACCCTGCTGCTTTCCTGGCAGGTCACTTAAACTCCCTGGACCAAATTCAGACGTTTGAATTAAATTAGTTTCAATTGTTTTGTGTGGATTAAATTCACAATTGTTTGAATTAGACCCTCTTATACTAGCTTGAATCCATGTACCTTCCCATTAAACTAATTACACCAGCTGTACAGGTAGGTTAAGGTGTCTACAGACATATCTACACTACAAGTTAAGTGGGGAGCCGGGAGCCCAGACGGCAGCCTGGCCCAAAGCAGGGAGCCAGGAGCACGGGCAGCAGCCTGGCTCGGAGCTGGGAGCCCAGGCAACAGCCCATCTCAGAGCCAGAAGTGGGAACACTAACTCTGAAGTGAAGACCAGGCCTACATGGATATCAAACAGCAAGAAGAATGTATAAGTTTAAGTAGAGAGGGGACTACTTGTAGCTCTGATATAACTGCAAAATATTTTTGTGATTAAAATTTAAAAGCCCACTGAACCTTTACTCAATACTCAAAATGAAGAAAAAAGTTTCATTTCTCTTTCATTCTATTTTTACCCCAGCTTTGTGCTTGGGGTTCCAATCTAAAGTATTTAAATGTTCTCAATAGACTTCTAGCCAGGCCATTAGCAGGAAGTAGCAGATGTGGCTTTCTGGCACATCTTTCCAGCCCAGTTTTGTAGACACAAGAGGTTTGGATGGTCTACAGAGAAGTAACCAAATATTGAGGCTGATATCTAAACCACATCTTTAGATATTGTCAGGTTCCCCATTCCTAATTAAAAACACCAGCCATAGGTCAAACCTGGAAAATATCCATTGACTTCACGTAGCCTGGCAGTTAAATCACAAGCCTGAGAGCTTGGACACATGTGACAGACTGGCTCTTTGACCTTGGACAAGTCCCTTGATTTCTCTAGGCTCCAATTCCCCCTTTTGTACAGAAAGGATCATAACACCCACCTTTAGATAATGCCCTGCGATGGAGCACAGGAAAACACCTAGAAATAACTCTGCAGGCCTTGTCTCCCCTGCACATAGTCCTAGTCACCCCCTCTTTACTTGTGCTTCTGGGATCTGGAAGATGGATTATGTTTTTCCTTACATCAGGAAAGTACCATGCTCCCTGTGCCCTCACCCTTTCTATAACATCCCCGCACAGTGTGAAACATTCATAAACCCTTGATATTTTTGTCTAAATGAATTAATAGCCCTTTCATTTACACTGGAACCAAGACTATATTCATCCATGTGTCCCTGTGTATTTGTTGCTTATTTTTCTTTCCAGTACCCAAGGACTGTAGGTGGTTCTGTTCCCATGGCCTCTCCTATTTCTGGAATCTTCAGGCCACCTCAAGTGCACGAGCAGTATTACCTGCAAGACGTGTGGTGTGACCTCAAGTCACCCCTCATTTCCATCTTCCTGAATTTGTAGAGAGGAGTCTGGGTCAGAGGAGACAGGCAATGGGGGAAATTTGGCAGATGCTGAAGTGTGGTATGGCCCAGTTGTCATGCCAGCAAAAATATGTGTATATTATAGCAGCCCAGATTGGCTCAGTTAGAGGCTAGCTGTGTGATCTTCATGAAATATACATGTGTCACAGCACTAGTGTGTGACATACTGATTTGACAGGCTTGTGAAATCTCCTGTGGGCAGTTTGATGTATGTTTATTAAAACATAATTTTATTTTAATGATATGTAAAGTGTTATTGCACACTTACCCTTCCTCACTTACCCTACATTCTGCATACTTCACCTAGCAATCTGCTCTTTGATACACAGTAACAGGCAATGTGTAAAAGCCTAAATAGACAGAGAGTTAGGTAGGTCATCTTGTGAATTACATAGTTTTGTTTGCTTAGGGATTTTTGCTAAGGGTTTATAATGCAGTCAAAACTAGTGTGATTCTTCTCTAATTGAACCCTGATGGCAAACGAAAAGAAGTCTGAACCAAGAGGACAGTAGTCCCTATGTTTGTTCACTGCTTTTTAAGAACCTGATTTTCAGACACTGTCTTCCATTTTTACAGGTGCAAATAATAGCATGCATGATATTATTGACCACAATTTAGCTCACAATGACATTGAAATCACCACTATGGAGGTCCGGTGGAGGCTAGACTGCAAACTTGGCCTTAAAACCTTAGCTGGCTCTGAATTCGTGACTTTCAGGTCAAGAACAGTGAACTCATTTCATATGTGCCTTGACGATGAGACTCATTGGATGCTGCTTTCAAAGATGAAAGGCAAATGATCTGATCCACTGTGTCATATTTATCAACCCTTCTCCTAATTATTTTTCAAATGAAAGTTTATTAAAAGAAGCACTAACTTGAATCATAGTCTTGTGTTTGAAATTAATGGTCTTGCAGCAAATATTTCCTCCTTTAAATGTCTAAACCTTTCCAAAGATTAAAGGAAATTAGTGCTGGCATGTTTCATTAATTTGGCAATGTAGCAGGAGGAAATGTGGGACTAATTTCATTTGTGTGGATTAAGAAATGTGTCAGTTTTTCCGTTCTGTCTCTCCAGGGCATATTTTTACTGCAAGGCCTGTCATGATGACATCACAGATCCCAAAAGGATAAAAAAATGTGGCTGCAAACGGCGTAAGTAATATTTCTTCTCCCTCCCTTTTCCTCCCTCCTCCCCCTTCAGGAACTGCTCAGCCTTAAGGAATCTCTTTAAATGCATTTATGTGTTTTACACAGTGGTGCAGAAAGGGTAGGAAATAAATACATGGCAATGCAGTTAAATGTCATTTGTAATTCTGATGTGAATATTTTTAAAATTAAATTTCACACCACTCACTCACACCTGCAGCTTCATTAAAATGCCTATTTGTGTCCAAAGTTAACAAAGTTCAGATAATTAAATCAAGATGAATCTGTGCCCACGGCATTTATTTGTGGGCAGTAGGACGTTCTGAGTCTGAGTAGATGAACAATCTTATCCACATGGGGCCAAATTCTGCCCTGACTTGCAGCCTGTAAAAACCCATTACTTGCAATGGGCTTCCGTGAGGCATAAGGGCAGAATTTGGTCCTTGTATAATATAATGTAACATGTAAAGTAAGCTAAGGAACAACACTGAGCTACATAACAATGCTGAAATAAAATATTATGATGAGTCCCATAGGCTCCATCCTGCTGTCATTCTGCAGAGGAAGTCCAAATGTTGAAGGGAGTTCTGTGCGCAGAAGAAATTCTGGACTGGTCCCTTTAAATACAACAAAATTCTGCTTTCAGAGGTGTTCAGCAGACTTCAGTGTTTATCACCTGCTTTACCCAGGTTAATAGAACTGTGGTTGAAGTCAGCAGGAGATTTGTGAGTGCAGGGAGAACAGAACATTGGAGTGGAGACCTGGTTTTGTTTTTTCTTTATATTTATGCAGGAATATATCTGGCTCTTTAATTTTGGTGGACTTTCTGCAGTCAGGTTACCCAAACCAAATGCCCACACAGTAGATTTGACCAATGAAATATTTGCAGTATAGATTTCAAATGTAGGCATGGGGATTCCTTCTCTTAATGGATATTTGGATATCATGTGTACACTTAGTTTAGATGGTTTAGATGGTTTAGATGATATTCTGCCATTAAAAACCACATAACCCTGTTTAGAGTCACAAGAAAAGTGGGTTGGACTGTCTCAGCAGAGTCTGCCCATGCTTCTGCTCCTGCTACTTTTATGATTCCCAAAACACTGTGGCCTACTGATTGCTGTTGTCTCATTACAGTCTTGGCATTTGGAAGAAAGGGCTAGACTTGGACCTTCACACACACCAGGAAAAGGGTACTTCTACTCAAACCATACCAGAAAATGAAATTCTCTGTAGAGAAAAACAATACTATTAGAGTCCGTAAGGACAGCCTTCCTCTTCTCTCCCAAAAAAAAGACACAATCAAGGAGAACAAGGTTTCTACATTGTTTCCTTAAGGTAGCATAATAGAGATAGAGGAGCTGAGACTTTAATGGAGAATAGTAGCCACAATAGTCACAGTGAATGCAAAGTTCGTGGAAATCAAAGATATGCATGCCTGTGTGGAAGGAACGCATGCATTTGCCTAACATATTGAAAAAAATTGTTCAAGAACAGCTTCTCCATGTGAGACTGTTACTCTGGAACTCCAAGGTCAGTGAGACTGCTGAGTAAGTTCTGGTCAGGCAAGTGAAAACTACCCGTGGGTTCCTGCAACTCACTAATTTTCCCCCAAGATTTCCCAAAACACTAGGGAAGGGGAAACATAACCAACATAGGGGAGCTGTTGTTGCCTCCTTACCCTTTATGTATTTTTATTTTCCCCCGCCACACCTTTCATATCTGTAATACTATGCTGTGCTCATGTGTACAGGCTTCTATCAAATTCTCCAAGAGACTTGGTATCGTTTGGATTCAAGACCTACATAGATGGGCCACATTTAACTCAAATATATTGCAACATATGAACAAGCAACTACAATGTAAAGGGCAGAAGCATGAAACGGAATAAAATGTTCAATTTTGGGAAGCCAGGGAGAAGAAAACTCCTTGGAAAGAGACCAACCAATGCAGTATAAAACAGCAGTAAGGCCATGTCAGGGCTAGAATGACAGCCTCTGCATGTAGCACTAGGAAATGCTCCAAACGACATAGTCACACACATCAGTCTAATGCATTAAAGGGTGTTGGACAGATGTGGAATGAAATGATGGAGTTAGTGAGGCTGAAGAAGGAGCCTGTCAGAGCCACCACACTGAGCACTGAACACCAAGGGGGTAATCTTCCGAGTCAGGTGGAGGGGAAAAAAGGCAATGATGGCAAAGTCTAATATGTACTCAGAATATTTTCTTGGTTTGGTTTCTCTCTCTCTCACACACAGACAGACAGACACACACACACACACACACACTTGTCAGAACAGCTGATAACAGCTTAAACAGCTGCATGTTCATAACTATTAACAATAATTCAATACCTTTGTTTTTAAAGTCCTGTCAATCAGTGAATGATATAAACCAAGATTTTCAAAGGTAATGGGTGATTTTTGGTCAATCGATTTTTGGATGCCCAACTTTGAGACACCTTTAAAAGGTCTGATTTTTAGAGGGCAGATGCTCAGTAGTGTCTGCAAATCAAGTCCCTTGAAGGTGTCAAACTTTGGCCCTCAAAATCACTAGTCACTTTCGAGTATCTTAGCCATCATCTCCACATATATGGTGCCTGAATTGTTTGTCTTAAAAACACAATCTAACTAAAACAAAGCAGAAATTACAACAAAACATTACCTTATAAATTGTGGGGCTTGGCTGTCAACTTAATTTACAATGAGATTGTGAACAGTTCAGATATATATTTTTTAATTAATGAGCAACATAATCAAAATTAGAGACAGTGGATTGCAGATGACATGTAAGATGAAATGAAGGGATGAAGATAAAACTATCAGCATGTACAGGTGAATGAAATGTGAAAGAATGTCTTCTTTACATGGAAATCTTAATTATTATGGCATTAATTACATGCAGCTTCCTGGGACAGTTGAAAGCCATGTTCTTTAATAATGCATCTGAGGTTTCATGTCCCTTTAGATATTGTCTGAATATTAACTGTGGTATTGTCAGGGTCTATAAGTGAGCCTGACCTACATAGCCATTTGTCCAAACTTGTTAGGCCTAGTATTAATAATTCAAGTAAGAACTATGCATCTCCATGAGGCTAGGGATAATTAAAGTAACTATGCTTTCCTTTCACAGTTTTCAGCCATCCGTCCTTCTCCCTCCTCTCTTTACTGCCTGAATAATCTGTAAATGTTCACATTACATTGTCCAGAGAGAGATATAGAAATTCTATTCACAAACCATTGATAATTTTGTGGTATATTTAGCTTATGTTTTCAATTTCTTATTTAATTTCATTGTATCTTTTCAGCAAAGGGCCAAATGTATATATGTATATATTAAATGCAGCCATGCTGGGATGAAATCTCTAACCTGGATGATTCACACTTTCTGTTTCTTTCATTCTGTATAACAACTCTTGTCTAATTCTCTATACATTTTTTCCAGCCACTTGCTTGCTGCAAAGGGTGGGGGTTGAACCCCGGAGGGACAGATCGTGTGTACTTTGATGTTTTTAAAGGAATGTGTTGTAACCTGTGAAAATTGACAAATTTTTGATTTATTTTTTCTCTTGCTGCCTTGGAACACGGTCCCTACTATATTTTAACTGCACACTGATAGTGATCTATTGTGAGTAAAAACGGGTTCCCTGTAGCCCAGAGTGCGGTCCAACCTGTCTTTCTCTAGCAGAGACTTTTTTTTTGTTTTGTTTAGTAGTTTGGTTCTTTTCTTTAATATTTATGTTGCATGTAGCAGTGACGTCATACCCCCACCTTTCTCATCCTTTACACTCACACGGATCAGGGCGACGTTGAAGAAAATACAGCAGTTTCCTCCACCTCCCTCTTTCCTCCCCATTTTCTCCCCAATCTTATTTTTATCTCCAATGGAAAATGAAGCCTTGACAATGGCATTTCCTTTAAATGACTTTGGACTTCTCATTTCTTTTTAGGGATGCCAGTTAGGCTGGAGTAATTACCACTATAGCACTGTTTGCCTGGTTAAGTGGAATTCATTGTTGGGCTTGTATTCAAGGTCTTGGGCTTGTATTCTCTGCTGCTCAGCTTCATTTCATGACAGAAAGGGGCATACAGCAATTCCCCACTGTCCCTTCCCTCCACCCCCAGCACCAAAAAAAAAAATAAGCCAGGCAATGAATTAATTGTGTGATCAACTTCTGATGCATAAACCTAAACCTATCCTTAACTGGAGACAAGTGACTCTACAGTGGTAATTATTTTTCCTCAGTCTATGAAATTTCCATTGCTGTAAAATTAATGATACATGTGTATGGCCCAATTATGCTTTCAGTAGCATAACTTTGAAGCTTATTACAGACCCAGTATGAACTTTATAGACCACTCTGTCTGAATCTGAGCCACAGCATTGTTAATTCTACAGTATCTATGGAGGCCCTCAGTCATCGACCATTTCTTAGTGCACACATGGTCCTGGTAGTTAAAATAAATACAGCATTTGGGAGGTGGAGAACAGTTTACATTTTCACTCATTCGATGTACAGGCACTCCAAAGAAAATACATTGGGGAGGGGTGGGGTACTGCTGCCATACTTACAGGATTATTCAGAGCTTCTCAGTATGACTAAACTGTTCCCAAAGAGTTTCAGGGACCAGGATTAGATAGCTCAAGGGTATAATGAGCCACAGTGGTACCACTGGGATCCCACTAACCACTCATTTTAACCGTGGCTACTCCAAACCTGTGAGGTTATCATTTTTTTTACCATTCCCCCAAATGTTACTCTTGTTAATTTGTTTTAAGATAGCAAAAGCTTCTGCCGTTCTTGTGCTAAGTGCTACACAGTCACATAGGAACACAAGGACCTAAACAATCCAGGAAAGGCAGTACTTTTGGGAATAACGTCACAGTGTTAGCCAATCAGCATATCCAAATGCTGTAATACCATTTATTGTTGGGAGGTGCATTGAGGGAATGGGAATCTACCACTCCACATAAGGTGCTGAACAAGACAGTTGAAAGCATTAA